GTGGCTGGGAGTAGTGGCCCAGAGCCTGGGCCAGCTGTGGTGTGCTGAAGAAAATGACCTTGTGTGCCATGCTTTGTTATGCATGCCAGGGGTTGCCAATCCCTGGGTTATGCAGTGCTTTTGAAGATTTTAGTAGCCAGGGTATTGAAATATTAAGGTGCTACATATTTTTGAAGCATTTTAGAAGTATTTTCTCGGCATCTTCTTAGTACTGTCTAAACTGAGGTGCTTGCGTTTCAAGCCCTGAGGGGTAGGCTGTAACTTATTGTGAATAGCAGGTGATTTTTGCAATGAGAAGACTGTTTCATTGCAGCCACTAATTATATTTTCTGTTTAGATTTTGGTTTGCTTCCTCTGCATCTTAGCTTGTGTTGACCCAATCTAGTCTAGTGGAAGCTTCATTGAATTTCTTGGGCTGATGGTTTTTATCTTTATTAATTATAGACACTTAAAATTTAGCCTTATTTATCTCCATCTGTCTGTGGCATATTCAGCTGCTTTAAAATAACTATATTTGTACTATTTAACGCATAATATGATGATTCTGTTGTACATTTATATTTTTGTAAGTGTTATGTAAGCCATCTGCTTTTATATTTTATATGGCTATATACAGGTTACCCTGTGCTAAAATTCACAGGTGTACATGTGGCACCATGTACTATTCAAGTAAAAGCATGCTTAGTGGTACTTGCTCCAATATGCTTTAATAAAGTCACATAAATTTAGTCTAGTTCTTAAATAGGTGCATGGATGTGGAGTACAGAATTGAGAAACCTGGTTAGGTATATTTTCAGACTTATTTACCATATTTACCTCTAGGTTTGCTATTTTGTGTATTGAAAGTATGTTGTTAAACCTAGCATTCCTCAAATGGCTTTTGAGATCATCTGATTGCAATCTACTCCATACCTTGTGTGTTGTTTGATTGTAGGAGGGTTTCTCTTGCAACCCATGAGTGGTTTGAATTCTTACTGCTGCTGTCAATTTTATTGTAGATGTAAAAGAAAGTGGTAGAAAATAGGGTTGGGTTTTAATTGCTATGGCTGTTTGCAGACATTATTAAAAAAAAAAAAAATGCACAAAAAAAGCACTTTAAACTCAGTACACTCTCGCGCCAAGACCAGCACATGCCCAGAAGAGGCATCTCATTAGCTGGACCTGACTCACCCAATGTCTGTATAGATTGGGTGTTTTAATGGGGCTTTTTTGGCAGTTTTTTCTAGTAGCTGATTGAGTCAGTTTTAGATAAAAGCTCCAAAAAGCCTTGCTGAAATGCGCCGATCTGTGCAGACACTGCGGAGCCAGGTCAAAGTAACACGTTGCTTCTTCCGGTAAAGTGTGTTTTGGTTTTTTTGGCTTTCTTTTTGCTTGTATTTTTGGGGTGGCAGGGTTAAAATCTACAGGCAGCCTGCATCAAAGTTTTGCTGTAAACTGAGCAAATATAACACAGATCACAACAGAATTATAATTTAAACCTGTTTTGGCTGTATTCATGATTTTACATGCATTTTCTCCAAGCAGCTGATTCTTAGCTGAATGTTTAAAAAAAAAAAAAATTGCAGCTGAAGTTTGGATTTGTGGGTAGCAGGAGTGGCAGCTTGCGCTAACAGAGCTTTGCAGAAGCTGATTGAATTTTATTAGTAAATGTTTAGGATTGGGAATCCAAAAAAGAT